AAAAAAAAAAAAAAAATTGTATTTTGAAACGATGGAGCATTTGTGGTCAGGCTCCTGGTGGCTCAGGCCTGCAATCCTAGCAGTCTGGGAGGCTGAGGCTGAAGGACTGCTTGAGCTCAGGAGTTTGAGATTAGCCTGAGCAAGAGCCAGACCCTGCCTCTACTAACAAAATAGAAAAATTAGCCTGGCATTTTGGTGGGTGCCTGTAGTTCAAGCTACTTGGGAAGCTGAGGCAGGAGGATTGCTTGAACCCAGGAGTTGAGATGGCTGTGAGTTAGGCTGATGCTCTGGCATTCTAAACTGGGTAACAGAGTGAGTCTCTGTCCTGAAAAGATAAACAAAAAGAAACCCAATGGAGTATTTGTGATCTTCGTAAATGTTAATGATGACATCCCCTTACTTAATCAGTGGTCATGTAAATATCTGTGTGGGAGAAATTTAATATTAAGGAGAGTGAAAGATAGGAAGGTTTAGTGATATCCTCTGTCATCTCAAAATATACCAATTTGGCCATTGTAGTAAGCCAGATAGATATCCTAGAGAGAGAACCAAGTCCCAGCAAACTCATGTCATCAGTCTAATCCTAAAATTATCCAGTGATTAAATAAATATTATACCAGAAATACACAGTGATAGAGATAGTTTTTTAAAAGAACAGCTTTATTTGGTTTATTTTTTTGTTTGTTTGTTTTTTTTGAGGCAAAGTCTCACTCTGTTATACAGGCTAGAGTCAACTTAGCTCACAGCAACTTCAGACTCCTGGGTTCAAGCAACTCCTGCTTCGGCCTCCAAAGTAGCCTCCCAAGTAAAATGCCCAGCTAATTTTACTATTTTTAGTAGAGAGCAGGTCTGGCTCTTGGTTACGTAGGTCTCCAACTTTTGAGTTCAAGCAGTCCTCACACCTCAGCATCCCAGAGTGCTGGGATTACAGGCTTGAGCCACCATACCTGGCCAAGATGATAACAGCCTTATTGAGATATAATTCGCATACCATACATTTTATCCATGGAAAGTATACAATTCAGTGGGTTTCAGTGCATTCACTGAATTGTGCAAACATCACTACAGGAAGTTTTAAAATGTTACCACCCCAGAAAGAAACCCAGACCCTTTAGCAGTCATTCCTCATTTCACTCCAACCCCAGGAAACCGTCAATTTACTTTCTGTCTCCATAAATGTGCCTGTTCCAGACATTTTACATAAATGGACTCATAAAATATATGGTCTTCGTGACTGGCTGTTCAGCATAATACTTTCAAGGTCTATCCATGTTGTAGAGAGAGAATTGTTAAAGAATTTTTAATAAAACATTAAAAAACTAAAAAGGGAATGTGAAGGTATTATGAACTTATCAACTGCAAAAGTCAGCTACCACTCTAGGGCTTAAGGAACCAAGAAAAGGGGTTATTAGAATTAGTAAAATTTGGGAATTCAATGAAGTGCTTTGTAGAGCTAGTATGCTGCTAGGCTGGGCTAGTACTGGTGCCTTGAGCTCTGAAAAGAGGGCCCGTGTGGCGCTGTGAAACTGATTTTGGAAGTGTTGCAAAATTACAGCTTGTTTTGGCTGGTTAACTCCCAGAGTAAAGAACCAAACCTTGGGATATTAGGGTCAGGGGGAGCTGTGCTGACAGAAACAGGAAGGAGTGTCCCTTGCCCTTCCAGGCTTGCAGCCCCTTTCTCTAGTACCTCCCTTTGCCAGAGCCTAACAGGGAGCCCGCTAGCAGAGGAAAAATGTGGTTTGTAGAGTCCTTGTCTAAACATCATAAAACAGTCTAGGAGGATGATTTGAAGCTGGGAGACAAGATGCTAATAATCAGGATAACACACAACATGTTGGGATAATGAATAGAAGGCTGCTTAGTATAAATATGTATAATAACCTTGTTATTCCTCAGATGTTATGCAGCAAAGTTGTTTCCAATGAATAAAATCAAATTTGTTTATTTACATGTAGCTTTAACAGAACTTAAAACATGGGTCTGAGGAAAATATTTCGTTGACTCAGACATTATTGACACTATTAAAACATGCCATATTTTTTGTATATCAAAGAAAAAATGCTGTCAATTACTGTAATACACCATCAGTTTTATGACATATCTATTTTTAGCACTTTAAGATACGCGAAAAAAAGTTTCAGGATTGAAGAAATGCAGAATTTCACTTTGTGTTTTCCAGTTATTGTAACTAATCCTGATAACACTAAGGAAGTTCTTCATAATAGCAAGTGTACGGTAGTAATTACAGACTTAGCCTCTGAAGTCATGGATTCAAATCTTTCTGCTTACCAGCTTTTGTAAACTTTGGATTCTCTGGCCTCAAGTTTTTCATCTATTAAATTGAGACAGTAATTACATTTAAGTTGAAGATGTGTTGTGAAAATTAAAAGGGAGAATACATACAGAGTGGTTACCAAAATACAAAGTGGTTTACACAATGTAGTAAAAATGTATTAAGAGTTAGTCGTTATTAGGAATCTAGATCCTCAGACAGTATTTGGAGGGAATGATGTCAGGACAGAAATTTAATTTCTTGCTAAAAAAATAAGACGAGCAAGCATCACCATCTTTCTTATCTGTATATCCTCGGTGATGGGCTGCTCTGCTAAGAAAATTATTTATTCAGATTTCTTTATCTTTTTTGGGATTGGATATTGGGAAATTGAAAAGTTACATGTACACTGCAAGATGAAAATAATAGAGTAATAATAACTTAGTGGATGACTAGCTAGAAAATGTCAAGTCTTAGGCTGTAAGGTATTATTAGAGAGTTAATAATATTCTTAACTTCTTATTCAAACTCTCAACTTTGATCTTAATCCCCTGAGTTCAAAACTTCACAATTAATATCTTTGTTTTAGGCTAGCCACAGGACTTTAACATTATTAGGTTGTAATGGTTTATATAATATTTACTGTAACAGGCATGTCACGTCAGGCAGTTTTTAAATTTTCTGAAGTTACTGTTTTTTTCCTGTTGCCTAGGTGGCTTTCTCTCAGATGCAGGCTGGTACAGCGATGCTGAGAAAGTTTTTCTTTCCTGCCTTCAGTTGTGTACTCTACATGATGAGATGCTTCACTGGTTTCGTGCAGTAGAATGTTGTGTGAGGTGAGTTGGAACATGTCCTACAGTTCTGTGCTGTAATGGCATTTTGTGGCTTTCACGGCTTTAGTATTTCTAGATATACCCCAACACTTGAATAAATCTCTGAGGTGATATTTATATGTTACAGTTTCATAGTCTGTCCTCTTGCTTCCAGTTTCCAAAATATATTTAACCTGCTATAGACGGTTTAGCTTTGAGTTGAGTATTAGGAAACTGGGTGTGTTTCCTATATATCTTTTTGCTTTGTCATAGAGCTTGTTTATTCATTCAGTAAATATTATTGATCCTTGTTATGTACTAGAAACTGTGATATCCACTGGAAACTAGGAGACTCCAGCAGTGAACCTGTTTCTTGGATCTTACTTTTTATCCCTGCTTTGTTACGTTTCTATATCACATATAACAAGATTAGTATTTTACTTATACATAACTTTTCTTTGAAGATACATTGAATGCTTTTTAACAGATGTATTTAAAGGCAAGCAAATTTAGAGTTAGTTCTGTTTTTATTATCTTTTTTTCTGTACATGTAACATTTAGCATTAGCTAGTTATGTTTTCTCTGTCCCCCAATTTGACTTGACATCTCTTAAAAAGAGTTTAAAAGAGTTTATAATATAAAACTAAAGGGAAATAAAAATAAAATAAAAAAATAAAACAATGGGAATTTTTTTATCCTAAGTTCAGAGAATTGACTGAATTTATAGTCTTCCATTTTTAAGGAATTAAGGGACCTATTTCCCAAGTATTTTAGAGATGAGTTAATTAAATCCATATTCCTTCAGAGCTAAAATATAGATTTTTCAATAAAACCATTGTTCTTTTTTTTTTTTTTGCAACAAAGTCTCACTTTGTTGTCTTTGGTGGACTACCATGGCATCATAGCTCACAGCAACCTCAAACCCCCAGGCTCTTGCCTCAGTCTCCTGAGTAGCTGGGACTACAGACATCTGCCACACCACCTCAGGCTATTTTTAGAGATGGTATCTCATGCTTGCTCAAGTTGGTCTGGAGCTCCTGAGTTTAGGCAATCTACCAGCCTCCGCCTCTCAGAGTACTAGGATTATGAGCATTAAAACTGTTGTTGAGGCTCGGTGCTCGTAGCTCAGTGAGTAGGTCACCAGCCACATACACGCAGGTTTGAACCAGGCCCAGGCCAGCTAAACAACAATGACAACTGCAACAAAAAACAGCTGAGCATTGTGGCGGCACCTGTAGTCCCAGGTACTTGGGAGGCTGAGGCAAGAGAATTGCTTAAGCCCAGAAGTTTGAGGTTACTGTGAGCTGTGATACCATAGCACTCTACTGAGGGCAACAAGTGAGACTGTCTTAAAAAAAAAAAAAAAACTAATATAAAAATTCAAATCCTGCTGAGGCAGGAAGATTGCTTGAGGCCAGAAATTAAAGACCAGCCTGAGCAAGGGCACGAGTTCATCTCTACACAAAATAGAAAAATTAGCCAGGTGTGGCAGTATGTACCTGTACTGTTAGCTCCTTGGGAGACTGAAGATCACTTGAGCTCAGGAGTTTGAAGTTGCAGCGAGCTCTGATGATGCCACTGTACTCTTGCCCAGGTGAGAAAAGGAGGCTCTGTCTTGGTCCCTTTGTCTTAGGGAAAAAAAAAATCAAATTTTAGGGTGGCGCCTGTGGCTCAAAGGAGTAGGGCACCTGCTCCATATGCTGGAGGTAGTGGATTCAAACCCAGCCCCAGCCAAAAACTGCTCCCCCCACCAAAAAAATTCAAATTTTGAAGTTAAATTTGTAATCTGCAAACTTAATTATAAATAGTATTTTTATTTTTATTTTTTAAGACAGTCTCACTTTATTGGCCTAGGTAGAGTTCCATGGCATCACTGCTCACAGCAACCTCCAACTCCTTGGCTTAGGCAATTCTCTTGCCTCAGCCTCCCAAGTAGCTGGGACTACAGGTGCCTACCACAACACCCAGCTAATTTTTGTTGCAGTTTGGCCGGGGCCAGGTTTGAACCCGCCACCCTCGAAATATAGGGCTGGCATCCTACTCACTGAGCCATAGGCGCCTCCCATAAATATTATTTTTAAAGCTTATGATAATTTCCCATGAATATTTTAGAAATACATGATAAACTTTCGGAATATTTGTGTGCAGAAGTTATAAAGAGATTGGTATTTGGGCCTATAATTTGTAGTATTGATAAATATAATCTCAGTCATCTTTCTTCTGCCTGGTCTGTCTTTGTAGAAATACATAGATGTCTAGACTACCCCAAATGGGATTTGAGGGATTAGCTGGCTGTTTTAATGCACATGAACTAGTTAATTTGGAATAGAAAAGCCTTTATAATTTCATTATAGTTTTGTGGGGGGTTTTTTGTTTTTTGTTTTTGCTTTCTTACCTAGGCTGGAGTAGAGTACAGGGGCACTAATATAGCTCACTGGAACCTCAACCTCCCAGGATTAAGTGATCCTACCTCAAATTTCCCCATAGCTAGGATTACAGGCACGAACCACACCTGGCTAAAGTTTTTATTTAGCGGGGGGAGGGAGGATCTCACCATGTTACCCAGGCTAATCTTGAACTCCTGGCCTGGAATGATCCTCTTACCTTGACCTCCCAAAGTGCTAGGATTACCTGGCTATAGATTATTATTTAAAAAAGTCTTAACCAAAAGATAAAGCACTTTCTTTTTGTATGGGATTGATTTTTATTCACGGAGTCAGATTTAGGTCACCTAGATACATGTTTCTTATGTCTAATGTCCAGGCCCTTGTGTAACTTTTGCTTTAGCCTAACCAAAAGGTTCAGTTTTTTCCCACAGGACCAAGTCTCCTTTTCTCCTTCATAGTTTGTCATCTTTAGCATGGGGCTCCTATCATTATGGTTGCAAGTGTTGATAAGCAAGGAGAAAGGAGACGGGCAAAAAGCTCATACCAGCTGAGTCTGCTTTTTTAGTATATGTGTTGCCGAAGCAAGCATTGAGTCTGCTTTATTTTCCTTCTTTTCTAAATCAAAAAAACAAAAAAAAAAGCTTTCTCAGAAGTCTAATCTTTTTGCTTACTTGTCTGTTTTTTTTGTTTGTTTATTTGTTTTTTTTTTAGAGATAGAGTCTCACTTTGTCACCCTCGGTAGAGTACCATGGCATCACAGTTCACAGCAACCTCCAGCTCTTGGGCTTAGGTGATTCCCTTGCCGCAGCCTTCCAAGTAACTGGGACTAAAGGCACCCACCACAACGCCTGGCTATTTTTTTGTTGTAGTTTGGCCAGGGCCGGGTTCAAACTGCCACCCTTGGTATGTGGGGCCAGCACCCTACTCACTGAGCCATAGGTGCTGCCCTGCTTACTTGTCTTTTAAACTGGGAAACTAGGACATATTCTACACATCCTCCAATCTGTATGTAAGGTGGTCTGGGGAGCAGAATGTTTAATTTGTATATTACTACTCTGAATAAATTCTTGGGCCTACATTAAGGTAGAAGAGGTGAGAAATATTGAATAGATATCTAACAATACAATGAGTATTTGCAACTAGCACTTATGACTTTAGATTATTGTCTAAACCAAGGAACAAAATTATTTCTTTTTAAAATTCTTTTAAGTTTTCCTTTTTTT